TAAAGATATTTTGACAACTCTTATAACAATGATTGCCTTGAAATCTGCATTTAGTGTTGGTGACAAAGTTCATAATAATCATAGCAGTTCATTATCAACAAAAACAGTCAATGCACTTTTGTGTTTGGTTAGATCAAATCTTTTACCAAAAGTGTGAAAACTCCCTTGATAATATCTCCAATTATTAAATTCTTTGGAAAATGTTAATTTATTTTTCTTATTAAAAATTTTGATCAATATTTTGTACTAGCAAAAGCTATTGGAGAAAGAAAATCTTACTAAAGAAAATCTTACTATAAAATTATTGGAAAAAATACATTGAAGGTTGAATCATACTTTATTTTGGTTGTTTCAGCCTATGGGTACTTGAATATTTGGATTTGAAAGTTGGACAGTGGAGTATGGACAATGGTTTGGTATGCTGTTATTTCAGAATAGAACATTGTATTGGAGTAATTTGCTTTTTAATTGGTTGGGTTACACAGCCATTGATGTTGGAATATTAATTTTATTGTCTATAACTCTTATATTACATGGGCTGGATTTTTTTGTAGAAATTTTTCATTGTTGCTTCTTACCTCTTATCTGCTTTAGGTTTCTCTCGAGTTGCTTAATTAATTGGTTCAGTTAAATGGTTATTTTTCTACCGGTTACCACTACTTGAGTTTAGTTTGTTAAATCTGAAAAATGTTGAGATTATTTTGGCTGATGTGGTTAGCTAGTCGTTTCATGTTTGATAAACCTATTTTTTTATTTCTACTTGTTGGTTGGTGATGTTTATGGGCGCTGGCTTCTTGCTTGTTTCATGCGTCAAGGAAACGCCGAAGTTCAACCACCGCTTGACATAAAAATCACCTAGAATTTCACTTGTGAAATGATACTTTATATATTATATTAGTAAGAAGAACTAAGAAATACATACTAACAAAAAAGAATGAATATTTACGTGTGATCATTATTCTTTCTATAGTCAACTCCTCTGCTTTAGGATGTCTTTCTCATTTGGACAGAACATAGTCACTTGGGCTACCTAGAAATAAAAAAAAAGCCACGTCAGTGAAATAGCTTGTAAAATTACAACATAACATCTTCTCACTCACCAGCTTTAAGGATCCCTTGATGACTTGTTCTAAAAGAATGCCAACAAAAAAGGCTACCAAGAACAATCATGCGGAAGTCAAAGAAATAGAAGTGGCTACCCACTCTTCCTACTCACCTCCGCACTTTCCATCTTTATCTTCTTTCATATTTTAAGCTTCTCGACCTTTCACTTCTTCCTGATGTCAGCCAACATGATGTCTTTGGAAACATCAAACAATCCAACTGAAACTTCCATTTCTTGTAAGCAACAAATATCAAACGAATGTGGAAGGAGAAGGAGATGCAATTTTGCAAACTCCCCACAACATAATGAGGCAAGTCATTTATACTAGCCAACCCATGCAAACATGGAAAAAGCGAAAAAAATGATCAAATCTAAGCACAAAATTTCACATTAACTTTCCTTAAATTCCACCAAATACTCATTCCTTGCACATTAAATGCCAACTATTGCATCAATCAATCTTTCAAAGGAGAACAAGGCAAAAACTCGATAAGCAAAAAATGTTTGACTTGCCCAAAAGAATCGGAAAAGTATTGGTCATCATTTTTAATATGCAAAGATCATGATTTATATCTTCTTCTTTTTTATTTGTAGTTGTCTACCAAAAAGAAAAGAGAATATGAGAACTAAATGTACACCCCCAAGGATGAAATCACCCAACTAAAGGTCAAGGAAACACATTTACTAAAAGAGGATAGAAACAAGCTCGTAGACTTGGCTCAAGGCGAGCTCATCAAGAATAGTGTGAGACAGATTCGGAAGCCATACTCAAAGAAAAAAGCTCGTACGCAAAGCTCGGGACGGACACCAGATGAGTCCCAAAAGGATAAGTTCAACACAACAATCCTATAGGATCAAGGTAGACTCATCAACCAACTACAAGAAAAATCCACTGAGCTGATGAAGAACTCACCTAATGCTACAAATAGACTCACTAGACTGACTCAACTCAAACAGTCTCCCAAGCCAACATAGCTACTATACAACTATCGCCAAAAGAGCCTATGACTTTTCCAAGTTTGATAATTTAATATTAATCCAAGCCCAAGTCAGTATCAAAGGCACATGACTTTTACATTTTTTTTTTTCTTATAATTTTTACAAATATAGCTCATTCTTTAGCATTCATGTAGCACTCCCCTGATCCTAATTTTTAAATAACGAGTCACAAGGAGTGCAAGAGCTACTTAATTCTATTTAACTGTCTTATGTGATGTTGCCCCCAATTTACGAAGCTTGAAAGTGAATTTGTTCTTTCTTCCTTCAATTTTTTCTCTCTATTCTTCTTTGTTTCTCATCTTTTCTTTTCCTGAAAGTTAATAACGTCACAGCATAACCTACAAACAAAGTATAGATTAGAATTAATTCCCCACTTTGATGTTTTCTATAGAATCCCATGGTCTACTAGTTTTTTGCTCTTTCAAATTTGGTAACTATTTACTATAGATTCACATAAGAGTTGTTCTTCCATATCATTAATCGTGAATAAATGTTAGGCTGAGCACTCTTAATCAAATGTCAATGCAATCATCCAAAGGCTATTTGCCTATGTTAAAAGTGATATAAATGTTCCTTTGTATTATTTCTATTATTTACCTAATTGCTATTTTAATTATTTTTACCTTGCGGAACTCAAATTGGGGAAGGTTTTGTAATTTAGAAGCCAAACAAACCTTGAAGGTAAGTGAATCTCTCTCTCTATCTTCCTCTCCCGTGATTTCTTGGCCTAATAGAACTTGGGTTGGTTAAGTTGAACATTTATATCACGATTAATTTGTTTTGCCTTTATTTGAAAGCACATTTATGTCATTTAGGCTATGCACACTTATAACATTATTTGAGTTGTAATTTAGAAACCAAACAAACCTCCTCCCTAACAATCAAGTTAAATTTATCAACTCATAATAAATTATAATGTGAAATTACAACTCAATCATAATAAGATAATTATGAGTTAGGTTATTGGCATAAATTTATTTTTGATATTGGCATATATATTTGTTTTGCCAATAATGTTATGTTATGGACATAATATTATAATAAATAAGATATTATGTTAAATTTATCAACTCATAATAAATTATAATAAAATAAATTACAACTCAATCAAGTTAGGTTATTATGAGTTGAAAGGTTTCCTTTCAACTCAAATAAGGATATAATTATAATGTGCATACATTTATATCACAATTAATAAATAAGCCTTAGATATTGCACATTATTTGTTTTGCCAATATCTCTTTCCTTTCAGCTCATAATAACCTCCTCCCTAACAATCAAGTTAAATTTATCTTATAATTATATCCTTCTATGAATAATTTAAGTTGATTCAAGTATTTTTTTAATGAAAATTATTTTATTAAAAAACACAACTAATCAAAAAATGAACGGTACAACAAAAACAAATATAAATGTTCCTATATGATAATTGGAGAAATTGAATTGTACTGAAATTTTTATTGAAATCATTTGTATCAATGAAATAATATAATACTCAGTTTTTTTATTATTATTATTTCAAATAATTTGTTCAAATGAGAATATTATTTGCCCAATTAATTCTCTCGTCCTATTGTTTTCAATATGATTGTAGTATTATTTCTTCTGTGTGGAATTAGGAAGGTTTATTTTTTTCAGATAAAATTAAGTATATATGAAATGACATGATAGTATGAAAAGAAAACCTTTATGCTTCATATATATATATAATCTTGCTGCCATTTTAATCGAAAATTTCAAATATCCATTATGATAATTTTGGTCAATTAGTCCAACATGTCATTTTGCTAGTATCCAACTATATTATAATTAAAAAGGGGACAGTAATTTTACCAATAATAAGCTTTCTTCTTTAATTTCAACAATAAAAAAATCTTAGCAACAAAGAAGACTAAAAGATATAAACCATTGGTTTCAAAAATAAATCATAACCTTTCAAATAAAGGAATTAAGAACACAAGTGTCCACAAGAAGGAGGAGAGAAAAGAAGCTACAAATCACAAGTGGGGAGATCAAGGGACAGGCACACAAAGGAGTTGTTAAGGCTTTTAAGGTCTTTATTCATATCGATGTTTTTATTTTCTCTTCTTCAATTAATTTGCTCAAGGTGATAGGCAAGTTTAAAAGTTCAAGTGCTGCTTAAAATAACATGCAAGTCGAGCAACGATCACAAGGGTGGAAGTCAAATGGATGGCACCTCAGAGATTGTCCGCGTTAGTAGTGCACTTGCTCTCCCTTATGAAACAGATGAAGGCAAGGAGAATGTTATGGCACTTATGTTCAAATTGTTCAAAATGTGGAAGTTTGCATTCATGTCTAACATAAATTTGCATCCATGATGATGAAATCCTTCGTTTTTTTTTCTCATGCATTAGCAAAACATTCATGCTTGTTAATGTATGGTTGTACTTGTGTCTTCTATTATGAAGTGGTACTCCTTCCAAATATAGACCCATATATATTATTTGGTAACTAAAATCCATAAATTCTGAAATAGATAGCAAAATAATTTGCCAGTATTTAATTGGATAGAATACATGCCATGCAAAACAGTTTTCAGGATTTAACTTTTTTCACGGGATTTATTAGATCTGGATTAGCAGGATTGACTAAATCCTACAGGCAGACAAACAGCCCCTAAATTGCCACTTAAAATAATCTTGTAGTAGATTTTGATTATAAATACCATCAACAACAACAAAGCCTTAATCCCACTACGTGGGATGTGGGATCGGCTAAAAAAGCATTTTAAAAAAATGCAAAAGCACGAAGCCCTAACAATGCTTGCAGAAGGGCAACCGCGAGAATTATCAGCAATAAAAAAATAACTACGTTGTTTGTGCGTTTAGAAAGAAGGGGAAAGAATCGGAAGAAGTTAAAGAAGGAAAGTACTCACAGAGGGACGACGAGGTCGAAAGGAGAGAGAGACTGAGAGAAGACATTGAAAGCGAAGGCAAGGAGACGTCGAGAGGAGCGAACAGGCCGAGAGGCGAACCGGGCTACGAGAGGAAACCTTGCGATCTGCAGAGAGACAGGAAGGCCGAGACGAATGCAATGAAAAAAAATGAGAGTTTGTGGGAGCGAGGAGACCGAGAAGTACAAAGCAGCGATGGAATATTATGGTTGAACCGCCCAGCCCTAGCTTTTATGGCAACAGTTGGGCATGGTAGGCTCCAAGAAAATTGCAACTCTATTAGAATTAAAAATATATATATGTAAATTTGAATTTAAATGTTTATTTATTAAATTTAAAAAAATATTTATATGTTAGATAATGTGTTTATTTATTTTAGAGTTTACAAATTTAAATGATTTTTCAAATTCAAATGCTTAGGATTTTAATTTTATATGAAATTTAGCCTTAAATTCTAAAAATTTATTACATTAATAAATAATTTAAAATTTTATAGGATGCATTAATTTTCATAATTTTTGTAAAGGAGCATGTATAATCAAACATCTGAAACCATCTCAACATGATCATGCTCATCTTGGAGCCTTCCAGGGCGTAGGCTCTCATCTTGGAGCCAAAGGAACCAAAACAAAAAGCATGGCACTAATAGAGTGTCAGTCTTAAACTTTTTCATAATTCAATATCTATTTTCATTT